CCTTCCATCGAAATGACTCACCTGTCAATCCCCAACTAGTTTGAAATCTTCAAAAACCTTCATGATGATCTCCATCTTAGGGCAATCTAATTGGAACTTTCCAACTAGTGTACATTTGTATTTTCCTGCACGAGTTGAAATTTCAACGTCAGAGATGAAAATTGTTGGTTTACCCGTCTTTTTCTCTACTTTTTTGATGAGATTGCAATCGCCGATGAGATTGCATTTTTTGATGAGATTGCAATCGCCATTTTTTTAAACAGAATCATGGTAAATCTGTGGGAATATCGCACTATCTACGAGGTGAAAATGGAAGCTGCGTTTATGAACCATTGTAGCATAGGAGAGTTTGGCAGGGTTATCACCGACGAGGGCAGTGGCATAGGAAATCCATGAGGCCATTACTGCAGTCAGTGCCAACCTGCAGCACAGTGAGAAGCTGCACGAATTGGGGTGTCGAGAGGCACTGTCGCAGACGCCAGAGGTAGAGTCGAGCAGACGATCGAGTGGCTCTGTCGCAGATGAGACGCAGGCTGTCGAGTGGCTCTGTCACACGGACGTAGGCTGTCGAGCGGCTCCAGACGAGACGCAGTTCGACCGCAGCACTGCTGCCAGACGAGACGCGAAAGAAAATGCGAGACGACGCGAATGGAAGCAGTCGACGCGAGACTACGCGACGCGAGTAAATCCTGAAGCCGAAAGCAACACGAGAAGCTAGGGTTCGCCATGGGGCGGAACCCTAGCAGAGCGGAACGACAACATGTTTTTCAATTTTATTTTATATATGATTTCTTATAAAAACATGAAAGACTAGCATATGATAAGATTTCTTATAGAGATATGAATGTTTTGCATGCGTATTGATTTCTTTTTTTGGGTTACTGTAGTTTAAAAGTATGATTACTCTTGGGTTATCTTTAGAGAACTAATTATGTTATTTTAATTTTTTTTAGATTTTAAACATTTGGACAAGATGAATAGAAGAGAATAAAATGTGTACAGGAGGCGAGAACAACAAAACAATTATCTTTGTTAATTAAATTTTTTTCTTTTGAGGCTCTTCCCTGATTTTTTGAATATTAAACTTTTTAGTGATATGAATAGAATAATAGAGAATTGATTTTTATCGTTCGATCGTCCGTTCCCGGCTTGGTTAATTCCAAGCCTCGGACTAGGTCGCGATAAACAAGCCTCCATTCCACTGAGTGGGGTTGGCTACATGAATCTTCTTTTTCCAATTGTCTTATTGAATGTCATATTTTTCATTTAATTTTAATAAATTAAGATTATTTTTATACAACATTCCTAAGTTATTTTAGGTCTACCTCTACCTTTTCTAACATAAGTCGAATCTAAAACATCTGCTCTCTTAACCATCAGATAATCGACATTTAATATGACCAAACCATCTAAGATGACTCTCTAATATTGTCTCCCACTGAAGCTACACTAACCTTTTCACAGATATATTCATTTTACATTTTATCTCTAAGCGTAAACCCACTCATCCATGTAAGCATTCTCATCTCAGGAACATTTAACTTTGTATCATACTTCTCTTTGATAGACCAACATTTTTCCCCATAAGGCATTACAAGTTCACCACTATTTTATAGTTTTTTTTTTAAGTTTATAAGCGGTACTTTTCTATCAGACAAATTAGCCTGATGCATTCATCCACTTAAACCATCAGACATAAATTTTGCTGTTAACATCCCCATCTATATGTCACCACTACATTGAATAATAGACTTAAGATATATAAAAATGTTCACTCATTTTAATGATTTGGTCACCCATTGTTACAATTCCACTACTAGATCTACTACTACTACGAAATTACATTCAATGTATTTAGTTTTAACTCTATAATTCATGTTTTTCCTAAATTTTATTCAAGTCTTATCCATAAGAAGGATATTAACAGTGAAAAGCATTCGCGAAGTTACATCCTCCTATAAATGTCCATCAATAACATCCGTAACTAACGCAAAACGATATGTGCTTAAAGACGTTCCTTGATGTAAACCAACTGAAATAGAACATTATTTGGTCAATCCTCATTTTGTTCAAACACAAGTTATAAAGTCATCAACACCATTCTTTTTCCGAACTCTACAAAGAACTTCTTTAGGAATTTTATCATAGCATTTCATAAATAAAAAAAAAAATCATATTTAGATCCTCCTTACTCTTTTTGTACTTCTCCATCAAACCTCTCAATAAATATATAACTTCCACGGTAGACTTGCCCGTCATAAATCCAAACATATTATGAGAAATCATTATATTACGTCTTAACCTATGTTCAATTGCTCTCTCCCATCATTTTAATATGACGTTAATTTAATTCCTTTATAATTTACACAATCTTGTGCATCCCCTTTATTCTTAAAAATTGGGACCAAAAAACACTTCCTCTACCTTTTAGATATCTTTTTATTTAAATAATATTGAAAGTTTAGTAAGCTAAGAAATTCCTAATTCTTTTAAAATTTTCCATATTTTTATTGGGATACTATCAGGTCGTACTGATTTTTCACCCATAATTTTCCTTAAAACTTTTTAAAGTTTCTTTTTACTAATGCGACGGTAAACATAAAAAAAATATTATTATTAATGATATTAAGATCACTAAAGTTGATCATATTTTTAGAAACTTTATTGAATAGTTTATCAAAATATCTCACCTACCTATGTTGGATTTGTTCATCTAAGAATTTTCTTAATTTTTATTTTCATATTAATGCTTAATATTTTTTTCTTTATTTGACTAATTTATTCATATGTCTTTCACCCTCCTTAATATTTAATTTATTATGAAAATTATTAAAATCAGAATTCTTAGGATCATAAATTATTGTCTTAGCAACCTACAGGTCATCTTATATTTTTTTTTAATTATCTAAACTTTTATATTTAAACTAATTTTTATAAAAAAACTTTTTATATTTTATCTTGTTTTTGCTCACATTTCATTTAACTATTTTTATTTATAAAAATTTTTCTTTTTGATTCTTCAAATATATCTTGTGCCACTTTTTTAATAGTGTTTGTTATTTTTTCCCACTTAGCATTAGCTTCTTCATGAATATCCAAATCTTAAGATCTTAAAATTTACTCCTATATATAATTTTGTTCGTATCTTTTAAGTGCCCCAATCAAATTCAGTAGCAATATTTCATTCTATTTTTAATCTTTTAACCCTTCATCTTAAAATTCAAAACTTATAATTGATATTGAGTACTTAAATTTTCAGTTAGTATGACTTTACAATATTTGCATTCTCGACGGTATCTTTTATTATAAGAAAATTATCAATTTGTATTTTATTAGATCCATTCTTATCAGTGATAATATACAATATTTTTTATAAAATAAAATATGAGCAATAATAAAATTATAGACTAAAATAAAATCTGTTATTGATATTCTTTTTTTATTAATCACTCAATAATCATAACCACCATGAATATTTCTAAAATCTCTTACAAACCTACCAACATGTCCATATAAAAATTATTTCTTCAAAGGGTATGATTTGTGGTAATTCATCTTGGTCATTCCAATGTTTTTTTTTTTGAACTTGAGGAGGATAAACACTTATAACCTCAAGAAGCTTAATATTAGCAACAATTTAATTCTATATCTAATTCAATTAATTTTTATAACATTATTTTTCAAATTCTTTTTATCACTTACCCCAACTACGACTCCTACATTAATACTAAAGTAAAAAACCTAAGCTCTCAATCTCCGTAGCATTTTCTCCATTTCATTTATTTTCTTGAATGCATAAGATATTTTTCTTTATATTAATCATAATATCTACTAATTCCATTAATTTACCTATGAGTAGGGCTGTAAAAATGGTTCGTTGTTCACGAACAACTCGTATTTGGCTTGTTAAGTAGCTCGTTTCAGTTCGTTTGCTAAGAAAAGTAGCCGAACATAAATAATTTTCTTGTGCTTGATATATAAATGAGTCAAACATGAAAAAAGATTTGTTCTTTCGTGTTCAACTCATTTTAGCTCAAAATTATATATATATATATATAATTGTTGAGTATTATTTTAAAAAAATTTAATTGTCTAGCTATGAGGTTACAAAAAATTTATAATCAATTAAAATTTTTAATTAAAAATATAAAATAAAAATATATTAAATTCTATTTAAATTAATATTTTAGTATAAAAAATAAGATTTAAATCTTGCCCCTAACCTTAATATTTGACGCTTGCTTGATTAGGGATGTCAAAATGACTTGTTGTTCGAGAATAGCTTGTGTTCTGCTCGCTAAGCAAACGAGCCGAACACAAACAAATTTTTTGTGCTTGATATATTAACGAGTTGAACAAGAACAACGATATTTATTAACGAGTCAAGCGTGGGCGCACTTAAGCTCGATTTTTTTACACTTTTACATGTGAGAGTACCTCTAGATCCTATTATAAAGTTAGTTTCATGGATTAAGTTATTTGTCTGCATCCATTCATATGAGAATGCTTATTTAACACTATACCTGATCACAGTTGCATTGTTTTCACTGTATTTAGGCCCTTGCACACTTTACACTATGATTTCTTATTTTCAAGCATCTAACTTGATTAAAATTGCTAGATCTTCTAAATCCTATTCTATGCATCTTATTTTCTTCTGTTGTTGGTGCCAAATTATTATGTAAATCATCAATTAAAAAATGTAACCTTTGCTTTATTGACTACACTCTTTGCAAGATTTTAGCTTTTTTATAATCGTTATAAGTCATAGTAGATGTCTCTCATGATCTATTACCTTCTTATTCATTCTATATTTCATAATTAAGGCTTTGTGTTGAAAATGCTTATTGACTCATTTAGGTAGAATCTTCCATCTATTACATCACTCACAATCACAGATTGCAAGCACCACATGCAAGCCCTCATTTTTCTTCTTTATATTCATTGTTTTCTACCCTTATACATTCTGTGGCCATAAGAAGCTGTGTATGACATTTCAGATAAACAGTACCGAGGACAGGTCTGTGCTGCATATAGCTTTGCGTGCTGCAAGGGATTCAGTTATTCATAGTGATGGGAGGAATGTTGTTCCAGATGTTTGGAATGTAATAGAGAAGATCAATAACTTCTCTGAAAGAGTTCGAAGTGGCTCATGGGTTAGAAACAAAGAATAGTTCTTGTGCTGCATTTACATAATTTCATGGTTGACTTTTTAACAAACAATTGCATCAGGTTGGAGCAACAGGAAAGACATTGAAGGATGTTGTAGCCGTGGGCATTGGTGGAAGCTTTCTTGGACCTTTGTTTGTGCATACTGCTCTTCAGACTGGTATGATTAATGCAGTCTACTATCTACATATGAAATTCTATGCATGACAAAATCAAGAGCAACTGAAATTTACGCCTTTAATTTTGGATAATTTTAAGCTTCTTAAAGTGTAAGATTCTTTCCTAAATGTCATAGATCCTGAAGCCGCAGAATTTGCAAAGGGACGGCAACTACGTTTGTAAGTGCCTATAACTTGTATGGTCTGGCTTACTATTTAGTAAGTCACGCTTTGATTCAAAACTCATCCCATGTTTTGGTGTGAGCTTTGATTGTTATTGATAATGTGTATTCACCCATATGCATGCTTCGTTCAACAATAACTATGCTTCTAAAGATCAGCTGCATTGTCATTTTAAAAAAAATTGTGCTGGTTACTGTGGCTGAAACTTGGATGCGATGGTGTTAATATGCTTTAATATGTTATCTTAAAAGAGGATCATTCAATTGCCTTCCTCTATTGTATTCTGGTAAATTGAAGTTCTTTGGCAGTGATAACTAGATGCCCATAATGGATGCCTTTCGTTTTTGTCCTTAATTTTTTTTTAATTTGGACTAATTTATTTGATATCATTTAAAGGAGTAAACATTATAGATATCTCGGGTTTATTGTTCAAAGTGATGGTGATATAGGTGGGGATGTTATTAGTAGAATTCAAGTTGGTTGGTTGAAGTGGAGGAATGCTTCAGGCCTATTGTGTGATAGAAAAGTACCGCTTAGACTATTGTGGTGAGACATGCAATGCTTTATGACGTAGAATGTTGGCCTATAAAAAGAAGCATAAAAATAAGTTAAGTGTTGCTGAGATGAGAATGCTTTGGTGGATGAATGGCTTTACACTTAGAGACAATGCGAGACGAATATATCCGTCAAAGGATTGGAGTAGCTCCAGTGGTGGACAAGATTAGAGAGTCGTCTTGGATGATTTGGTCGCATTAAACGTTGGTAATCTGATGATTCCGTTTGGTGAGTAGATGTTTTAGATTCGACTCATGTTAAAAAAGGTAGAGGTAGACCTAAAAAGGCTTGCATGTTGTTTAAATAATGAATTTAATTTATTAAAATAAAATGAAAATATGACACTCAATAGGACATAATGGAGATAAATGATTCATGTACCACTTAGTCGGATAAATGATTGTTGTTTTTGGACTAATTTATATGATAGTGATTTTCTCTAGTCATTATATCAAAGCTTGGCTAAAGTGTTTAAGCCACAAATATGCATTGCAAATCATAAATCATGTTTAGATGTAGCTATGTATTCCAGGTGCTGCTGTATCTGGATAACTGGCATGTAAAGAAGTCTAAGATGGAATTTCTGTCAACAAATTTGTGAAGCAATCGAGTCCCCAATACTTTTTAATTTTGTAATATATAATAGAGATAAGCTTATGCAGACCTGACTCATCAGACCTTAAAACTACTGATTTGATAATACTGGATAGTAATGGAGTCATAAGCAAATGGAGTTTTTGGTTGTTTGGTTGCATCAAGTCCAAGTTTAGTTTTTAACATGGTAGTTTTCATGCTAGATCAAAATCTTTATTATTTGATATGAATTGTGGTATACTTAATGATACAGGGTAGCGTGGTAGTTTTCATGCGGTTGAGGAAAGGTTATACAAATTTTCCAAAGTGGTTTGAATGCGTACTAGAGAAAGCTGGCGATGCACCAAAAAGCCAAGGGGATAAAATTAACTCGTAAATATGGAAAATTAAAATTTTTGGGTAATGGTGTCATGCTTAAAAATTGTAAAGATTTGCTTATAACATCAGCTATCTGGGGATTAATGACGAGAAGATTTCATAATACCAATTTAAATTAATGAGGCAGCTGTGGTTGGTGATAATCAGGATGACAACAATGGTTAGTATCACCATAGGAAGAATGATGCCTCAACTCTTCCACTAAAGTTTGTGTCTTGTTAATCTTGATATGTTTTTTATTTTAGGTTTAAACATTATGTATGCTTTTTTATATTCTCTCTAAATGTCAATTAAATTGTTTTTATCAATGATGATATCACTACCACATTGAAATTGGGAGATTTAGTTAATTGAGTACACCACCAATACTTCTTCTAAAACTCTACCTAGAAGAATAGAATGAGTTAAAATCAAGCACATGAAGAACCAAATATTTCATTTCACATAATTCCCAACTCTTAGAGATTTAGTAAATTAACACAATTCTTTTTCTCGGAAGCATCTCATAATGTTTCAACCATTTCATTATAGTACTTCTTAAATGCATCTAAGCTAATACACAGCTTCAATCATTTATCATAAACACTAATTTAATATGATTCATATACTACAAGAAAACTGGCATCAACACATGCGGTAGTCAACTCAAAATTTGATTCTCACTTCGGCTCAAGTTTGCAGATCCCTTTTCTTGAAGCAATAGCAAGAATAATTTCTGGTGAGCTATACATGTAAACAAATTAAGAACTTTAATATAGAATTTAAGTATACAAGAATATGAAACAACATGATTTGTTAATCCTAAATTTGCAATAAGAATTACAAATATGGCCATATACTAGTGTATTGCTTTATATATAACTATTTCAAAAAGAAATTTCTTGAAAAATAACGTGGCATAATAATAAGATATTTTTATTGAAGTAAATTTTAAAATAAAATTTTAAGTGTCCAATCCTCAAATGCACTCTAATGGTGCAGTTCATAAGGTTTAACATACTAGATTAAATATGATATGTCATTTATTTGCTGGATATAAAATATTTTATTTTAGCTTTAGAGTATGTTATGTGTAGAAGCCCGATAATAGAATGTATCTGACCCACATCACTCATTATAGGATTATAACCAATAAACTACAAAGTTCAATAGAGCCAGTGTAACCCAGTTTTATCGGAATCACATGGAAGTCTGTTGCCCCACCTATAGAAGTCATCATAATATATTATTTCCTACTTGATCCACAACAAGATATTTTTTAAGCTCTATATATTTTCAAAGTTAAATGTTAGGATGCATATGCCATTGATCTTCAACCATTCGACTTCAACCTGCTAATCACTTTTGTGCATCAAAATGCAACTTAGATGTCCTAAATGTCCTACTTTTAAAATACAAATTTTTATAAAATCTTAGTATAAAAATGTACATTTTATTAATAATTTCTGTCTGATCACTTAATTAAGAATGATAGGATGTAAATATTTACATTTTGCAATATAAAGCCTTTCTGAACTTTGCCTACATATATGTTTATCTAAATATATTTTTATGCAAAGATTAAAATAAATTTAATTTTTGAATTAGAAATTGAATATTTTAACCAACTAAAAATCGACAACAGGGTAACTTTCTTTGCAATAAGTGCCACAAAATCTCTTTTTTAAGCAATCTACATCATAGAAATTTCTCAGATTTAAATTTTCCTAAATTAAAACTCAATTCTAAACCAAGCTAAACTCAAAATAAAATTTTATCTTGATAATTTTTGCAAGCCTCGATGCCTATCAATTCAAGTTGAAGCAGTCATTTTGCTGAAAATGTTATGGAAAGTCACATTTTACTCTAAAATTCTACCTTTCTCTCTTTTTTGTCTTCTTCCGAGCTCCTTACTATCATGAGTAAAATATCATATATATATATATATATATATTGAAGAAAAGCCCAAGAACTGATTTTATTGAAATAGAAAAGATACATAAAGGTTGTATGAGAGGGTCCAATAGAGACACCTTACTCATATGATACCAAATACTGTAATACCCCAACAAAAAGTTACAGATAGACTCAAAAAATTAAAACATGCAGAAAATAAAAGCTAGGGACGAGCAGTTTAGTCCTGCCTCTTCCTCTTGTTTTAGGAGCGGAGCCAGATAACAAAATTTGAAGTGTCGTGTCATTGTCAGGAGTAACCAATGTATCATCCATTAATTTTCAAGTTGGAGTGTGCCCCCAGCCTTCTTCTTCCGCCGAGAAGTCTGGCTCGTGTGATCCTCGGTCTAATTTAAAACCGCAGTAGAAGGAAAGACAGTCGTTGCCACAACGATAGGTTCCAGTGTATGTGAAGTGTGAATTGTCACCTCTGCATCTGATGCTTTCTAAATAGGGACATTATCCGTTGTAGTATGGCCAGGAGAAGGGGTCCCAGGGGCAGACACCAACTCCTGTCTTGTAGTGATTCCCTCCTCAGGTTGGCTATCATACGGTTTGTTAGAAGCGCGTTCAGGCACGTGGGGTGCACTAACAACATGTTCCTGCTTTGGACTATTGGTTCTCAACTGTGGATGCAATCTGAAACATTTCTCCTGCGGGTGTCCGAACATCTTGCAGTGCTTGCAGTAGTAAGATTTTTGTTCTATAATATTTTTTTGCCAATAACCATTGTTAGCAGAGCCAAGTCAGACTTCTTCTACATCTGATAGTGTAATATCTCTTTCAATCAAAAACCTTGCAATAGAGGATTTTGAGAAATGAACTGTGGGTAAGTCTACCTGTAAAGATTTTCCAAGAATAGTTGTTTTTCAAGGACAGTCTCAATTGCATGTAAGATAGGTAGGTCAAAAAATTGAAGTTTGAGTTCAGGTAATGAGAATCAGATAGGTGCAATTCGGGGATCTTGACTGAGATCAAAACCAGGGGTCCATTTGAGCAATTTCATATGTTTGTCCTCGATTGTGATGAATTTCTTTGAGAAAATTCTTGTGTAATCTTTTTCTATACTTTGCTGTATCATAACACGTCTTCCATTGAATTGACCCACCTGCCAAGCCCCAACTAGTTTGTAATCTTCAAAATCCTTCCTGATAGTCTTCATCTTAGGGCAAGCTAATTGGAACTTTCCAACTAGAATAAATTTGTATTTTCCTACACGAGTTGAAATTTCGACGTCATAGAAGAATATTGCTGGTTTTCCCTTCCTTTTTCTCTACTTTCTTGATGATATTGTAATCTCCATGTCTTGCAACGAAATCATGGTACATCTGCGAGAATATCAGACTATTTGCGAGGTAGAAATGAGAGCTGGATTTGTGAACCACTGTAGCATAGGAGGGTTTGTTGGGGTTATCACCGACGAGGGCTGCGATGTAAGAAAGCCCTGAGACCATTACCCAACAAAAAACGCAACGCCCGGTTCTGTCGCAGATAACGCAACTGTCGATCGGAAGCAAAGCTTGTAGATCGAGCTCTGAAGAGGATGCCAGCAACAGGTCGGAGTGTGGAGTAGGCTAGCTACAGCAGATCGAAGCACTAGAGAGGCTACTGGCAGCAGGTCAAAGCGCTGATGTGACGCCTCATTTGATGTGAGAGTCAAACGACGAGAGAGACATCGAGCCTAAGTTATAGTTTTCGCCCTACCGGCGACATATATATATATATATATATATATATATATTTATTTTTTGAGAAAGCCCAAAGACTAATATATTAAAAAGAAATAAGGATTCATATAGATTGTGTGGAAGGGCCCAAACATTCACCCTTCCCACATGATAACTACCACATACAAATGATTCCAAAAAAAGAAAAAATACAGAAAATTATAAGGGACCTAATGAAAAAACAAAAAATGCCCAAAAACGTGGTATCAGGTAGTTAGAGAGCGACCCAATTTTGCTTTGCCTCTGCCTCTGCCTCTAATTCTAGGAAAGGAGCCCAACTAATAAATTGGTAACATGAGTGTCATTGCTAGTAGTAACCAACGTATCATCCAATAAGTTCCCAAGCTCGAGTCGACCTCCAGTCTTCTTCTTCCTCTTAGAATAGAGTTGTCATTCCTCATCCGAAGAATGACTAGCCTGATCAGTGGATTGGTCTAAAGTGTGCCGGATATTTTAACACATCACACACACACACACACACACACACACACTATATATATATATATATATATTGTGTGTGTGTGTGTATTTATTTATTTAATATAGGTTTTATTAAAATAGTTTAAATATTTGTGAAATGCTATGATCAGGGTATAAAAATTTAAATCATTTTAACATTTATATTTTTAAAAGTACATAATTCTTCTATTCTTATTAGAATTTTTTCATTGAAATTCATCTAGTTATTGATTAGCTAAATAAATTAGTAAAGTGTCTCATAACATACTTTTTTTTGGAAACCTCCTTTTTTTTGTTTTGTGCCACTATATTTTTTTCTTATAATTGATCTACATATTTATCAATGCCTTAACATCAAATTCAGATTAATGCCTGTATATTCTTTTTTTGTTAATATATATAAAAGTAACACAATATGAGAAAATTTCTCCAAAATCTACTGTAGTAGCTAGCCAAACCCAAAGAAACTTAAAATCTTAGTCACATTGGTTGGCCCTAGCCATGCTGCCATGGATCTTACCTTTTCAGGATCTCCAATTTATCCTCACCACGAATGATTTGTGCAAACTCACATTCAATTGGATATTGGTGGCAATGAAAATGAGGAGCCTTTGATACTATGCTTACTTACACAATAAGAGCATACATTAATTATTTCATTGAATTGTTGCCATGCAAGATACTTTGAAATTGTCAACTTTTTGACTTGTGGATTTTTTTCCTCCTAACCATTTCTAACAAATATCTTGATTAAAAAATTTGATTCAAAATTGAACAAATTAAAAATATACAAATATTCAAAGAAATTAAAAAAAAAAAACAGTTTAGAGATTATCATGAAATAGAAAAAAAATTGATGGAGAAAATGAACATCCTTGTGGAAGAAAACTTGGTGATAAGGAGGGAATGGTGGCAGCAACAACAATTACTTGTTGCGATTGTGGTACTGGTGGAAGCAGTAGGCGATGATAGTGGTGACATAAGTAATAAGTGGCCATAGAGACAATTATATCAAGCATGGTCGGCGTATGTGTGAGTGGGGAGATGTGGCGCAGTAAGGGGCAGTGGGGAAGGTTGCAACGACTGCGAAAGCAGCAAGTGATTGCGGCATTGATGGAATCAACAAGATGCAGTACTAGGGATGGCCAGTGTATGTGTGAGAGGGAAGATCATGTGTCAGAGGCGAGATTGTGAGCAACAAGGAATGTTGGCAAAAGTAGCAGGAGGCGGCGGCGACACTAAGGACTGCCTATTGGATTTTTATTTTGAGAGGGTAAGATGGTATGTGTAAAGGGTTGTAGGCCAAGCGTAAAGGGGGTGTGGGGGAAAAATACCCTAAACCTATGAGGTGCATGTCTCATCCGAATAGCTTGAGACCTGCGCCTAAAAACATTCGAACAAATTGTTTTGAGATGTGCCTCAATTTGTACCATTTTAAATAGTGTATAACAATGTGGAGAGGAATGGAATTTCTATATATTATTAAATGAATATTATGTGCCTATAAATAAACCAATGGAGGTTCTGAGTAGGAATCAATTAAAAGATTAAAATACCTCTGTTATGAGGATATTGAATCTGATCTTCTTAATAAATTCTCTAACACTAGAAACCTAAATAATATGCTTGGTCTGTCAGTTTCCTTTGCACTGACGGCCTCCTCAGCTTTTCTGTTCCATGGTAGTGGTTACTGATTTTACGGGAGTCTACTTCTCAAGGTCAAGTTACAATTTAAGATATTAAGCAAGTTAGGCGTGCTTTTAATCTTTATTGAAGGTTGAAAATCATATGGCTATTTTCTTATCCATCTTTAGAAGTTAAAATACGTTGGATGTTCTGCACAATCGTACTAACTTTTAGGTGTATTATATGCGCCATGTAATCTATCTTATTGAGGATTATCTACAGCCTTGCAAATGTTGATCCGGTTGATGTTGCCCGAAACATTACTGGCTTGAATCCTGAAACAACATTGGGTAATTTTTCTTTCCACTCTTCATAAATCATGTTTATGATTTCTTGCACCATTTGCGATTCTCTGATCATTTACTATTCATCATCATTTATTTGAGCAGTTGTTGTAGTTTCAAAAACTTTTACAACTGCTGAGACTATGTTGAATGCTCGAACATTGAGGGAATGGATTTCTGATGCGTTGGGGTACAAATCAATGCAATCTTATTTGTTTCAATTTCTCAGTTTGATTTTTCTTACTTAATTTAAGCTTGCCGTTCAGCCAACAGGCAATAGCAAAGCATATGGTGGCTGTCAGTACAAATCTGAAGGTACAATAATATTCTCACTCCTTGTGTCTGATTATGTGTGAGGACTGCTGGCTTCAATATTATGCTCTTGCATTTTCAGTTCATACTAATATATCTGTATAATTTATTTCTTTTTACATACTAGCTTATTTCAGTTCAAAATACATTGACAGAGACCAATATGTTCTCTTCTCATAGATGACAGTCAATTTATTTCAAAGACGGCTGTTCATTATGAGTGTAGAACCTTGTTAGCTACATTGGTATGAAATGCTAAGATTCGAAGACCTATGAAAATTTTAGAGCCTTGGCATTATGTATTATGTAGAGCCTTGTTAGCTACATTGGTATGAAATGCTAAGCTTGAAAGACCTATAAAAATTATAACCAAATCACCATGCTTTTTTTTGTTGTTTAATATGATAGCATTTGTTATTCACAAACCTCATATCTACCTCTTGACTGTATTCTCTTTCATTTCATTCTTCTGTTATTTTTTCTTTCTTTTGCATTGTGTGTTAGTCCATGTAATGGTTAAACTTGCTCAATTTCTTTTCCTTGCATGAGTAATTTTGTTTTGCTTGGCATCCTTTGTACCAGTCTATGTTCAGTATTTTAATCCATGTTTCAGGGAAGTAACTTATTTATCCTTTCATTCCATACCATATATTTAAGCTCATTATGTTTTTGTTATGTAGCTTGTGGAGGAATTTGGGATTGATCCGAATAATGCTTTTGCTTTTTGGGACTGGGTTGGTGGTCGCTATAGTGGTGATGATCATCATTCATTCACAAATCTGGCATTTTGACGGAGTTTTTGGTTTTCCTTCATAATAAGTTGGTGGATTCTCGTTTTTGCAGTTTGCAGTGCTGTTGGTGTGCTACCCTTGTCTCTCCAATATGGTTTTCCAGTCATTGAAAAGTATGCTGACTGATTCCAATTGATATTCTTTGAAGTAGTGTTCCATGACAGTGAGTAGGCTCGTAATATAGCATGCGGCTAGTACAATTTATTGTGATGTTTAGTGAGTAAACTGTGATTATTCATATGATTTCATCACAAGTTGGACTGATTGAGCAACTTGAGTAATTATGTTTGTCAAAGTAAATGGTGAATTTCATTACAAAATTCTAGAAAGTTTCTAATCAAGAGCCATGATTGTTGAAAACATTTTAGCGAAACTCCTTGGGGTTTATTTTGTTTGTTTTAATAATTTGTCTTCTGTGAAATATTTCTTGTTTGAAATTTCTGTTTGAAATTTTCCGAAGGAAGAGATCTACCTCAGATAATGAAATGCTTTAAAGTTCTGTTTGGTAATTCAAAGGTCAGTGGATCGGCTTTTTATCTGATTGTAAAAAAAGGTCTGTTTGGTTATTTACCTGAATGATGAATGCTTTTTCGTGGATCATCATTGCAGTTCTCTAGCTCAGCAGAGAATCGAAGAAAGAAAAATTGCTTTGTTTAAAAATTTCTTCTTATTGACTAGTAGGATTCAGAAAAAAAAACATTAATTTAATATTGGATGACGATAAAATCTAATTTCTACTGGTTGACAAACAGATCCCCAATTTACCGTATAAACAACCTAATTTTCTCCTACTGGAGCATAAATATTAATTTCATAGAGTGTCCAATGCCTTAACATTTGCAGCTTGGAAAGATGCTTAGGGAACAATCATAAGCACAAATGACATTGCTTGATATACTGATATGGTTGATTGAATGCAAAGAGCCAAATATGTTTATTTCAGTTTATTTTCTGTGCAACGATATTATTTATGCTCAACTCCTACTGACATGTGTATGTTGCTAGTAAAGGTTTTTGGATGGAGCTCGTAGCATAGACAAACACTTTTATTCAGCTTCGTTTGATAAAAATATACCTGTGAGTTTCTGCGTGCAAATTTATGATCTTTTAATTTGTACTATTAATGGTAATCCTCACTATATTCCTTTTCAGGTGCTATTAGGTTTGTTGAGTGTATGGAATGTCTCGTTTCTTGGATTTCCAGCTAGAGTGAGCCCCTGCTTATTTAAATTTTATTTTTTGTCTGCAACTTTAATCATTTCAGGGTTCTTATTGTTTAGTCGACAGCTGTTTTCTTAACTCTACTTGTTTCTGTCTCCAGGCAATATTGCCATACTCTCAAGCACTTGAGAAGTTTGCTCCACACATTCAACAGGTAGCCATGTTATGATATGGTATAGTGCGGTATGTTTTCCTGCCTTTCTGACTTTAACCTTGTAATCTCAAATCATTTCTCTAGTTGAGCATGGAAAGTAATGGAAAGGGTGTATCCATTGATGGCATTCCACTTCCTTTCGAAACTGGTGAAATAGATTTTGGAGAACCAGGAACAAATGGTCAACACAGTTTTTACCAGCTAATACATCAGGTAAGAATGTTTTTTATTGAATTTGTGACAATTTGAATACTATTAATCATGGTGCTAACTCGGGTGTACAATTTTTTTTATAATGGTAGGAATTTTGCAAAGATAATTTACGTTTGTTTAGCTCTGATTTCTTTTATTTGACATATGTTCATCGAAGATTTTATCATGATGTTTATTAGAAATGTTCATCATCTTCACCCCATTGAATTTTCACTTTTAAGTGAGTTGTGTCATTCTCCTTGTTCTGCCTGCCATTTTATAGATCTGAGCGAGTCATCTCCCTACCTGCTAGAATTTCAACCATTTTCTCAGATGGCTGGTGGATTTTGAGCCCTTTCGCTAAAGGACTAGTTGCATGGCAGTTACAACATAGGTTATTTGTGAAGTTTACAAGCATTATATGTGCTTTCATTGGGCAAAGTACCTCTTCTAATGCCCTGTAACAACTCATAATAATAATAATAATAATAATAATAATAATAATAATAATAATAATAATAATAATAATAATAATAATAATAATAATAATAATAATAATAATAATAATAATAATAATAATAATAATAATAATAGTAATAATAATAATAATAATAATAAATCGAATAGGCACTAAGGATACATTTCCTTTCAGTTATCACTTAAGAGTTTTGTGCCTTCTTTTGAAAGATGGTATCAAAGGGGCAAGAAATGAAACCGTAGAGGTGAAGGAGAAGAAGCAATTGAAGGGAAGAAGGGGAGGAAGGTGGTCGAGTGGCTTCGATTCTATGCTTGTGTGCAGAGGAAGAGGAGTAAGAAGGAGAAGTGTGTTGTCCTATGCCGATCTCTAGTCAATCGAAGTTGAGAACGAAGGAGGAAGTTGCGACTTTGTGCACTGGTAACGTGCGAAGGAGGAGGAGGCGGTGTTGAGGGCTTGCGGTGATGGGTTGGGTCGCGGCCGAAGGCAGAGAGGTAGGAGGAGACTTCCGTGCTATGCTCGCATAGAGAAAAAAGAAGAAGAGGCACTATGCTCGTGTAGAGGAGAGGAGGAAGGAAGTTGAAGACCGACTGTTCTTAAGTTAAACTTTTGATTTTTAAATAAATTAATTATTATACTCTTTTATATATTGCTAGGGTTTCGCCTCACGACGAACCCTAGCCTCTGCTGCTGTAATTCCACGCTCGTAGAAGGGGGTACGCTCCTCTCTTTCCGTCATCTGCTTCGTCGAGCTGCGCCTGTTCTCGCTGCTCACTGTAGGGTCGATCACGCTCTGCGGCTCCGTTTCCTGCTTCTGCGGCGTCAACTCGTCGTTGTTCTTCTACGCGGCCTTTGTCGAACTGAGGTTTCGACTCTGTAGAGCTCATTTGCAGTTCCTATTTGCGGTTTACTGTCTTCTGCGCAGCGCCTCGACCTCTTCGGCTCTCTGCCCGACTTGCAAGGCTTCTCCTTGCTGCGGTGGAGCTTCCTTCTTCTTCGATTGAACCTGACAAAACCTCATTTGCCCATGTTATGGGTAATCCTCAGGGGGAGACGACGATTGTGTTCCTCTCAAGTTATAAGGAGAATCGTGATCGTACAAGTAACTGCCCATTTATTAAGAATGCAAACAAGAAAAGTGAGAAGACAACACTCTTTTTCTCCGAGTCAGAAATTTCAACCTTGACTGACAAATTTAAGTTTTCTCTCATTGGGAAATTTCAGTGGGGACACCCACCTATGGAGATTATTAGGAAAAGTTTTGATGACCTTAAATTAGCAAGAAAGTGGAAAGTGGGCTCATGAATGGGAGACATGTTTTGATTCAGTTAACCATGTCTGAATACTACACTCGAATTTTCTACAAAAAAATATCTCAACATTGTTGGTAAACCTATGAAGCTACTCAAGTGGTCTTCGAATTTTGACCCAAATCATGAAACTTCCACTGTACCGCTATGGTTTAGTTTACCTGGTCTCAAGCTGCATTTTTTTCACCATCAGGTTGTCTACTCTATTCGGGCCATCCTTGGGGATCCTTTAAAACTAGTTCTGCCTAGTTTCAACCTAATCAGACCCTCGGTGGCCAGAATACTTGTGGAAAAAGATATTACTTTACCTAATGTTTATTGACAACAAATCGTCATGGAGCACATACCCATATTGTACAAATAGTAAGATGTTTGTTCATGTCCTTGATAAATGCCATAAGTTTCATCTAAATTTGAAATCTAAGGTTCAAGTGAATGAGGATGGGTCTAACCCCACTGCTCTGGACATTTTAGTTCCACCTGGGGAGGATATTACCAGATAAGAGGTGTCTGTTGCCTCTGAGGAACCCCCCATGACACTGTTGTTACTGTTATTGCAAGTGATGTGATGCTCACACCTTTAAACCCTATAGAAAACAATACTGATGGACTATTACCTACAAATGATAGTGTTCAGACTGATAATCAGGAGAGCCTCGTAACTCCACTTCTTCAGGAAGTTTTTGGTATAGAAGCAACTCATACTTCACATATACTAGAACTTATTGTGGGAACTAAGGTTAGTAATCTTTCTGCTTCAGCTATACCACCCCATCAGACTGATTCATCAGATGAGGAATGACAGGTCTATTCCAGGAGGAAGAAGAAGAATGGAGGCCGACTCAAGCTCCGGCATACAGGAATATATTGGATGATACATTGTTTACTATTGGCAATGACAATCATCTTATCAGCTTATTAGCGTGCGTCTGCCCTAGAATTAGAGGCAGAGGCAAGACCAAATTGGGTCGCTCTCTAGCCACCTGATACTATATATTTCGACACTGTTAGGTTTATTTCGGATACTATATATTTCGACACTGTTAGGTTTTTTATTTAAGTATCTAATGTATTTTTCTGTTTTTTTTAGTTTTGGAATCATTTATGATTTTTGTGTGGGCATGGTGCCATGTTTGGATCTTCCCACACATTGTATATGTATCTTTCATTCTATTTAATATATTAGCCTTTTTAGCCTTTTTGGGCTTTCTATTTAATATATATATATATATACATATGCCTGTATTTTATTTAGTTGTGTGTGTGAGTGACTTATTTAATTTGGCTTAATTTTTAAAATATATAAATTTAATCAATTAAATAGGTTATAGTAGGATTTAGGAATAATTCAGGATAATATTATATATATCAAAAGGGGTATAAACAACATCTAATACAAGAGATATAAAAAGGAAAGATATAATAATATGAACCTAAATTCATAGGAAAGGAAATAACAGGAAAAAAATAAGTTGAAGCATAAATGTCAATCGTGCTGAAGTTAGATTTGAATTTGTTAAACAATGACTAAGGAATATTCTTTATGAGAATATCTGCTAGTTGTCCAGTGGATGGAATCGAGCTTCTCCTTGATAAAGGGATGGTCAATCTCAACATGATTGATATGATCACGTTGGACCAGATTATGAGCATGCTGATGGCAACATTATTATTACAAAATTATTGCAGAGGAATGGAGACCGGAATACGTCACTTGCGGAGCATAATACACAACCAGAGGGCTTCACATATTCTAGGGACAGAACGAAACTTGACTTCAGTTCTGCTCCGGGCAACCACAAATTGTTTTTATACTTTTCCAAGTGACAAAGTTTTCCCACAAAAAGAAGCAATAACTCGAGGTAGATCGTCGATCATGTAAGGATCCGACCCAATTGACATCCGTATAAACAACAATTGAGCGAGAGGTGTGATGAGAGAACAACAAAACTGAAGTAGCGGAGGATCCGATCGACAATGTTGAGATGGTTCTTATAGGGATCATGCATGAACTGACTGACAATACCAACGACTTGACAAATATTCAGGAGTGTATGTGCAAGGTAAATGAGTTTCCCTAGTATTCATTGGTAGTGTGCCTTGTTCACCAGAATGCATTCGGTATTTTTGTCAATTTCTCATTGGGATCCATCAGAATAGCTAAAGGTATGCACAAAAGTAGCTTTGTCTCAGTTAGTAAATCTGTCACATGTTTGCGTTGGGTAAGGCTAATGTCACGAGATGACTGAGCTACTTCCATAACTAGGAAATACTATAAAGAACCAAAGTCCTTCATCTCCAAAGATGTGGCTATGATAGCTTTGAGAGAGTCCAAGGTCGACAGATCAGTGCGATGTCGTCGACATAGAAGATGAGGATGGCAATACGGTCATCGGCTGAGTGACTGAAGAATATTGTGTGATCAGAGTGGGCCTACGAGAAATCATGGCCCACAAAACTTGTGGCTGAACTAGCCTTGGGGGGGATTGATTCATTCCATAAATAGATTTTCGTAGTCGACATACTTGTCAAGGGAAGAGGTTGAGTCAAAGCCCAGTGGGAGAGACATGTACACTTCTGCGATGTCGCCGTTAAGAAAAAACATTCTTGACTTCAAGCAGGAGTAAGGGCCAATTAAGATTTACGACAAGGGACAACAAAACCCAAATGACATTTATTATTGCTATCAGAGCAAATGTCTTTTCATAGTCAACTCCATAGATTTTTTAATAGCCTTTTGCGACAAACCACATTTTTTGCGTTCAAAAGATCCATCGGAGTTAAATTTGGTGCTGAAAATTCACTTTCAAACTACTGTTTTCTTTCTTCGAGGAAGATTAACAACATCCCACATATGGTTTCTTCGAAGAACTTCATCTCGTCCATGACTGCAGACTTCTAAAACGGGTAAGCCAATGTTGCCTCAGTAGTGGATGACTGATAACGATCCATCAATGAGATATATTTTGCCAAGGGATAAAGACTGCATGCCTGTTTGTGTACCTCAATGGGGGAATTCAACTCCTCATTCAGAGTAGGAGTGATCCTCGTAAATTGAGAGAGCATCGTTTCAGAGTTGTCAGAGTGGGGCAGCGGACTCGAGTGTAAGGGCACTGGGACGAGTCTCAACCGTCGGTTTTGGTAGGTCGAGTATAGACACGTAGTGGATGGAGGTGATGTTGGTCTGATTGGTGATGGATCTAGTGGGACTGAGGGTTCCTCGAACAAAGAGGCTG